TGTGACCCGCGGTGGGATGAGTGCTGCCAGGACAGCAGCATGAAACTGGCTGGAAGGTTTTGTAGGATTCTGATCAGAGACCAACAAATTCCATCCCTTGGGCCTGGGTTCTTTCTGCCTGTGTCTCAAAATCACAGCAACACACCACCTCAGCAGCATAGTCCGGGTCAACATCCACAGGCACAAATGATGTTGTTAGGAGGCGCTCTTGATAGGGTGGGATGGAATGGTACCTTACCTCCACGATGCCTCTCCCCAGACCATAACGCCAGTTTAATCAGGGTGAAAATATCAGACAAATTCCATCAGGGGGGCATCCAAAAAATACCTGGCCAGGAGTCATCAAAACTGTCAGGAACCATCAAAAACAAGGAAGTCCCAGCCAAGAGGAACCTAAGGAGACATGACGACTACATGCTGTGTGGTAGCCAGGATGGGGTCCTGGGTAGAAAAAGGACATTTGGTGAAAACTAAGGGACTCTATGAGCTTTGCACAATAATCTAAGCATAAACTATGAACTTTGGTTAATAATAATGTGTCAGTTTGGGTCATTAATTGTGACAAATGTACCACACTAATGTGAGATGTTAAGAGGGGAAACTGCAGGTGGGAGGAAGAGGTATAGGAGAAATCTCTATACTAGTTGCTCAGTTTTTCTGTAAATCTAGAACTTTTCTAAAAAAAAAAAATAAAGGTTATGAATTAAAGTCTATTAATTTAGAAAACCACACACATGCATAATGATGACTTTGAGTCTGATAGCTTGGCTTTGCATGCTGTCTCTAATACAACTTCTGGCTGTGTGACCTTAGGCAAATTATTTTAACCCATGTAAGCCAGTTCCATCATTTGCAGTGGAGAGCTAAGAATACTTTTAAACTCACTGGTTGTTCTTTTATTCAAAAGAATACATTGCCCATGAAGGGCTTGGCACAACCTGGTACATATATGGTGTTCATTAAATGATAAATGTTATTATAGACATATATTCACATATACATGTACTGGGATTATTATGAATGTAGGATTTGGTTTTAATTGTTCGATTTTCTTATTTTTTAAAGCAAAAATTTTTTTTTGACAATTTCACTTAAAAATTGTCAGCCAGTTCTGCTGCTAGAAGAAAAAGCATTTTGCATTCAAGCCAAAAGCACGTGAATTGTCTTCCTAATTGTGTGGACATCAGACCTATTGTTGGAGTCTGAGTTTAGGTCCTGTGGGGGTAGGTATCTGTCTTCTTTGGAGCATGGGGCTTCAGCTCCTTAGTGAGCTCAGTTTCCCCCACTTAGCCCTTCTTCCCTATATTCCCTGTCATCAAGGGTCAGTAGTGGGGAGGCAGGCCAATCAGCAGACAAGCCGAGAGGACTTCTGGAAGGAAGGGGGTTGAGATCCCAATACTCACCTTTGACATTCAATGTTATGAGAAGGTCTCTGATGTGAGAGGGACCTTGACCAGGAGGTCCCCATCCACAGGGGGTCTGGCCCGGGAACAAGACTCAGGCCTGTGGGTGGTGACGTGGCCAGGGTGCTAATCTGGGCACAGCCCACTGTGGCCCAGATGCTGGCATCATTTCCTTTGGCTCAGAGACCCAGAGTGGGGACACCACCAGAAAGGTGGGACTTCCTGTCCCCGTCCCACACTGAGAAATGCTGGCTTGAGGAACCCAAACTACTGAGGGGATGAATACAGCAGACAAAAGCAGTCATGCTCCTGGTTTCCTGGGTGGTGGCTATGTGAGGTGAGAGGGACTTTCCATCAGAATCTCTCTGCGTCTGCAGAAACACCATGTGGTGACAGCTGTGACCAAGGACATGGTCAGATTTCCCTGTTTCCTTTTCTGGAAGATAGTAATCAGGTCTTACTTCCTGGCCCGAGTATCCCTGAACCACTTGATCATCACAGAAAGACCACTGGGAAGGATGACTTGTTCTCAGTGAGCAGATGTTATAATTTGGCCAGTAAGGGAAATGTGACCTCATTTTGTATCTTAGCTGGAGAAATGGACATCCAGTTACCTGCATAAATGTCCATACACAGATACTTTTAAACACGCACATGTGTGCACACACATATGCACACACACACATACCTGCACATATACACATACACTCATACATATACATAGACACACAGACAC